AAGTTATGATTCCTTATGAAATACGATATAGTTTTTATGTAAGAATCTAACATGACAATACGGCTATTGAACTATGAGAGTTAACAAAATTTAGTGTGTAGCTGATAGGTCATCGGTAAATGTAGTTTGTGGTTTGGTTCATTTATTGGGAAGAAGAATCACCCTGTGCAGAAGGAAAAAATATTTAAAAAATGTTTCAATGAACGTGCTGTAAACAAATTCTCACTCAAAAATCACGTCCGCTTAAGAATTCGTGTCGATCTACGATTCGGAATATTAAAAATACCATAATTAATTAAGAATATATTTGAACTCGTTGGCTTCACATCGTTTCTTATATTTACACGTGTCACCGAGTGCGAAGGAATAGATTTCCCCTGATGGCGCCTCATTTACGTCGCTCGGACCAATTAAACATTACAACTAGTCCGCGTGCACTTCGTCAATCAGACAAAGCGATCTGGTCATGAACTTTGACCTTACTTGAACTTGTGGCACGTTTTGACCTTACGAGACCATCTGGAGTCTTCAGCGAGAGATTGAGGTAGTACAAGAACTGTCTGGGCAGCTGTGAAGATTCAGTAATTGATTACGATAGGTGTAAGGTTTGAAGCACGCGCATTTTAGACCACGAAGATGGGAGTGGGGTGGGTGTTGTTGGGGAAAGAAAAACAGAAAGGGGTGGAGGGGGCAGATGATAAAAGTGGGAGTGAAAGAAGAAAGTGCAAACGAGGAAAGATAAAGAAAAATGAAGAAACGGTGCAAAGAAGATGACAAAAAGAGGACATATACATTGACTGGGAAATGAGAGGGGATTATGGGAGTACAATTAAAGAAAAGTTGTGACGGAAATAAAAATAAATTAAGAATCAGAATTTAGCAGAGAAACAGAAATCTATATATGAAGTTTATTATTTAGTTACATTACATGTTCATAAAGTTTTATCAATAATCTGTTTCAGTGGAACATGTAACAGTAGACACTGGCCCCTGTGTTGTGTGTAACATGTAACAGTAGAAACTGGTCCCTGTGTTGTGTGTAACATGTAACAGTAGAAACTGGTCCCTGTGTTGTGTGTAACATGTAACAGTAGAAACTGGTCCCTGTGTTGTGTGTAACATGTAACAGTAGAAACTGGTCCCTGTGTTGTGTGTAACATGTAACAGTAGAAACTGGTCCCTGTGTTGTGTGTAACATGTAACAGTAGAAACTGGTCCCTGTGTTGTGTGTAACATGTAACAGTAGAAACTGGTCCCTGTGTTGTGTGTAACATGTAACAGTAGACACTGGTCCCTGTGTTGTGTGTAACATGTAACAGTTGACACTGGCCCCTGTGTTGTGTGTTACATGTAACAGTAGACATTGGCCACAGTGTGGTGTGTAGACATTAGAATCTGTGAGCTGTGTATTGGCTATAAGCTAGACACTGGCCCCTGTGTGATGTATACATGTAACAGTAGACATTGGCCCCTGTGTGGTGTGTATAATGTAACAGTTGACACTGGCCTCTGTGTGGTGTATACATGTAACAGTAGACATTGGCCCCTGTGTGGTGTGTATAATGTAACAGTTGACACTGGCCTCTGTGTGGTGTGTATAATGTAACATTTGACACTGGCCTCTGTGTGGTGTGTATAATGTAACAGTTGACACTGGCCTCTGTGTGGTGTGTATAATGTAACATTTGACACTGGCCCCAGTGTGTTGCGTAACATGTAACAGTAGACACTGGCCCCTGTGTGTTGCGTAACATGTAACAGTAGACACTGGCCCCTGTGTTGTGTGTAACATGTAACAGTAGACATTGGCCCCTATGTTGTGTGTTACATGTAACAGTAGACATTGGCCCCTGTGTGGTGTGTATAATGTAACAGTTGACACTGGCCTCTGTGTGGTGTGTAACATGTAACAGTAGACACTGGCCCCTGTGTGTTGCATAACATGTAACAGTAGACACTGGTCCCTGTGTTGTGTGTAACATGTAACAGTAGACACTGGTCCCTGTGTTGTGTGTAACATGTAACAGTAGACACTGGCCCCTGTGTTGTGTGTTACATGTAACAGTAGACACTGGTCCCTGTGTTGTGTGTTACATGTAACAGTAGACACTGGCCCCTGTGTTGTGTGTAACATGTAACAGTAGACACTGGCCCCTGTGTTGTGTGTAACATGTAACAGTAGACACTGGCCCCTGTGTTGTGTGTTACATGTAACAGTAGACATTGGTCTCAGTGTGGTGTGTAGACATTAGAATCTGTGAGCAGTGTATTGGCTATAAGCTAGACACCAGCCCCTGTGTGATATATACATGTAACAGTAGACATCGGCCTCAGTGTGGTGTGTAGACATTAGAATCTGTGTGCTGTGTATCGGCTATAAGCTAGACACTGGCCCCTATGTTGTGTGTTACATGTAACAGTAGACATTGGCCACAGTGTGGTGTGTAGACATTGGAATCTGTGTGCTGTGTATTGGCTATAAGCTAGACACCAGCCCCTGTGTGATGTATACATGTAACAGTTGACATTGGCCCCTGTGTGATGTATACATGTAACAGTAGACATTGGCCCCTGTGTGGTGTGTATAATGTAACAGTTGACACTGGCCTCTGTGTGGTGTGTAACATGTAACAGTAGACACTGGCCCCTATGTTGTGTGTTACATGTAACAGTAGACATTGGCCACAGTGTGGTGTGTAGACATTGGAATCTGTGTGCTGTGTATCGGCTATAAGCTAGACACTGGCCCCTATGTTGTGTGTTACATGTAACAGTAGACATCGGCCTCAGTGTGGTGTGTAGACATTGGAATCTGTGTGCTGTGTATCGGCTATACAATGGCCTCACAGTTAAATTTTATTAGCTAAGCAGCTGCCCCTTTTCTCATTAGTATCACTTCTCTTCAGAAACTTACTCCATGGCCAGTAATCATGTTCTCTTTAGTAGTTTCCTCAAATAACTTTTTTCAAATGAAATTCCTAGCTCTTCAGTTACAATTTACAACACCTAATCATTACAGTTCCATCCTCTCTGTGTATTGTGATAATTAATCTGATTGGGGTACTTATATGATTATGCAGTCTTTATGTCAACAAACGTCTGCGTTTGTGAGAATGGGATGTTACAACTGAGCTTTACACCGTTGTTTCTGAGTAAGGACATGAAGCCAAGTGTTAACATGGCTTTGCCAATCAGAGAAATGCAAACTTGAATAATGTAGAGAACCTAGCAACAGTTTCCATGCATTAGATTAATGAAATTATTCTTGGAATATTTCATTTCATTGACTCGAATGATAAGGAAACTGATGTGACCTTTAGCAAACATTTTATCTACAAAACATCTTTTAAAATAAATCTAAATTGATGATATTCTCAATCCAATTCACTGACAACATCACAATGTTGCCATGAAAACAATTGTAACTTTCAGCCAGTCACGCCAGTCAGGCTCTGCTACACTGCTGTTAATACAATGACAACAATGTATTTGTGTAATATATACATGTATAAACATGGAGCAGTGATAGCTAAAATTGGCACAGTGTCAGACTTCAGGTGAAGATACAAAGTACTAGCATGTGGTGTGATCCCTACTTCTATTGGAGTGTTAAGAGATCGCCTTGTACCATTATGATTGTGTCCATAGGATAGACAGTTTACTCAAATGGCTGTGGATGGCATTCGACAAGTCTCTCATGTGGTATTCTGTGAGGTGGTCATCAGATACACGAGCTTCAAAACCCTTCCTCAATATTAGCCCTGGCTAATAACCCAGCAGTAAACAAAAGCCACCTTATTCTTTAGGTAATTTACACTTCTCCTGTTGAGGGAAGCATCCTCATTTTAAATTTCATCATCATACAAGAAAGACAAGAACTAATATTCACCATTATAATATATATTGGGAGATGTTAACCAATAAACACCATAGCTAGTCCACTAATACTACACTCAGGAAAAGTCATCTATTTCTATTGTTAAGTATGGGTTATTGCTTTGTTCAGAGTCTGGGCCATTTTAAGGCCTTGTTATCTTTAATCTGAAGGTTATCTATGCTTTATTGACCTTTTACAAAATTATGATATAGACTGACTAACAATTTTTTCAAAGGCAAATTAATCATTAAAAATCCTTCAGATTAGTGTCTGTAGTAGCTGGTGGCTACCTCAGTGAACAGCATATGGGAGGCCTGTCACAAGCCATCCAGGGTGGATTCAATCATGACAGCAGTTTTCAACTTCCTGAGAAAAACAAATTGCCAGGAGAAGGAAATTACATACCCAAAATCATTACCCAATGATTGAGATATGGCAGCCCCATTTCAATGTTGTACAAGAGGCACATCAGACTTTTATAACTCACCTGGCTTTGTTTAGCAAAAATTACTTCATCCAAACTAAAGGAAGAGGAATTCAAAAGGTTGAGATTATATTTACCGTTGGACCCTACTTCTTTGTAACCAAGGGTTAGCTAAACCAATCATACTCCTTCTCCAAAGCATGCTTCAGGGGGCCATGACCTAGTGCTGATATTTATTTAACTGATTCCACTTCACTCTCAAGATGTTTCAGACCAAACTGAGACAGAATCCTGACAATCCCAGAGAGGGAGAAGGTTTTTAAAGAATTTACTTTTCTTCCAATATTCTACCCCAGGAGGCCAACACCCATTATTTATATAAAAAAAAAAAAAACTGAGTACACATGCTTCAGACCAAATTCTTACAAAGTACAATCATTCTTATAGAAAAAGAAGGATTTTTTGGACCATGCCTCTTAGACTCCATGGGGTCAGACCTTACATTTATACACAATTGAGACCTCTTCCCCCAAAGGATGCTTCTGACCAAATTTGATCAAAAGACGCTCAGGTGTTCATGACTAGCAGGTAATGATTTGAGAGAAAAGTTAATGGAGGAATACCGCCGTATGCCATACAGTCACTTCGACCTTTCAGTCAGGTAAGCCAATAAAATAAGTTTGTCGCAAACAAAACTCATTGCATATAGAATTTTGCTTTTATTTCTTATTACAATTTTTTCAAATAGCAAAGATGAATATGGCTTATCAAAAGAATAAGTTTCCTTATATGGAAATACACATGTACATTTCATTATATGGTAATACACAATTTACATTTCCTTATATGGTAATACACAATTTACATTTCCTTATATGGTATACACAATAGTGAAAGTCTCCATTGGTTACAGAAATGTTGGTACTTCACACACATTTGTTGACAGTAATTATGGTACATGTCAACAGGTTTATATCAACTTGAAGTAACTGATGTGAAAAGGATGACAAAGCTGACTATGCTGCTGTCGTCAAGCTTGCACACTTGTTGATGTCACCATAGCAACAGCATGTATATAATGTTAACACCATCAATGCTGTTTGGCTACAATGCTTCGCTTCAATACCATTTACATGTGTCTATATTTTTTTTTTTCAATTTCCAACACAACTTAACTCTTGAATAAATCAAAATTTAAATTTTACATTTGATATTGTATACGATTGTTAGAATAATAAAAATATGACAGTTCTAAAACTGATTGCTATTCCAAATTCATATGGCTTTCACACACATTTAATTTTATATTCAGGTCATGAAATGATGGAAAAACAAAAGGTCAGAAAACTTCTTTGTACAAACTACACCTTAACCACTTCACTATCTGTTTACTTCCTACAGATATGCTTGGCAAATTCTCATCATGGCCAGTAAATATACACTATCAAGACTGACTTGTAGATGGATCGAATGGTTAATAGACAGCAGCCATCCTAACATATAAAGCCAAAAAGCAGCATACAGATTAAATACATTAGCTGATTGTAATACATCGTGACATGTACATGGTTTAAAGTGGAGTCTTACCAATCCTGACATTTCTCTTTCTCACCAGAACTTGTTGGATTAGATAAACAGAAATGACAATCCTGTCTTTGTGTGTAAATGTCCCACATGAGAAGTCATGAAATAAAATTTTCAATAATTAAATATTTTCTCAAATACAATTTGAACACTTTCAGTATCCTAAGAAAAAATCAGAAAACTTTTCAGATGGTGGGCTGAAAATTTAAAGCAGTAAAATATTTTCAGATTTTTGAAAACTTCATTTTGGAAACATTTATGAAAATTTTATCACTTTTTAAGAACCACTGGTATAAGGGGCACAAAATTCTCATATTTTTTTAAAAACTGGATACTACATTCAAAACTTCATTTCAAAGTTGGACCTGTGTACAGGTCATCAATACTGTAGAGTTGTCCTTTCCTCCATGTATAATGGCAAATCATTGAATTGCAAATCCATGTTATGAAGTTAGTGATCAGGATTAACAAGATTCCACCTGTTTGACATTAGCTAAAAATTTAGCTCTCTCGATCGGTAAATACTGCTTCAAGCAAAAGAAATTTCATTTCTAAAGCAAAGCCTCAAAATAAACAAATAAAACCCAGCAGTGTACGACCACATTTATATGTTTTTGGAGTCATTGCGATGTCATTACGATGCAAAAAAATACAATGCTAAATACAAATGTTAGTTAAATACAATGTTATATTATGCGTATACTACTAGTAAAAGATCTATCAATTTTTCAGAATTTTCTTTTCCATTCTTTTCCCCATACTATCATCTATCTCGCTTAAATGAATTAAAAATTATTTGAAATTATCGTAAAACTGGACAGAAATTTTGCAGTCTGAATGATAGCTACGTTTCCCCCATGAATTAAAAAAACTGATGATTTTGTAACAAAATAACACCACAAACAATAGGTCAATGACAATAGTGTTTCTTAGAAGACGTCAAAAATGGCACTTGCGTGAGAGTAGAAATGCTAATTTTGGAAAATAATTTTATTATACAACAATTTATTGTAGGGAGGGAAAATTTCTGTTAAAAAAGATACATGGTGTTGACATAAATAGACAGGACTGGAGTTTGGAAAAATATAACACAAGAAATTTAGGATTGGTTATTGCACAAATGATGATTTTTTTTCCATTATCCTTATCAATGTGATCTGAATCAAAACAAACCTGACCCTAATCTCTAGGAAACTTCAATATCCATTTGGTAGATTTGGGTTGTTATTGATTTATCTAGAAAACTTGATACAATTTCCTTGTCTGAAATAAAAAGCAAATCACCAAAGTCTTTAGTTATAATATGAAATTTTCTTTAATTTAAAACTGAAAAATCAAGTTACATTGAAATGAAGAATTATTTATTGTATCATTATAACAATTTTTGCATTACCTACTTCCAAATTAATTTTAAAAAGTGCTCTAGCAAACTTAAAATATCAATTTCATTTGAGTTTCCAGAAATCAGGGCCTGATCTCAGGAAGTCCGAGATATGTTTGCCACTGTGCTGACCACCAAAAACAACAATCACACAACAAAACACCTCTATCTACAAATATCAACACTACATCTGGGTTAGAACAACAAACATATTGGTCACCATGGTTACAAACTCACCAATCAGTTTCAAAAACTCATTCCATTAGTAAAAATTTGTTAAATTTCAACCAATCACAAAGCATGTATCAATTTAACATATAAGATCACAGATTGGTGAATTGGAAAACCAAGTGAAATAATACTTTTTATTAGGAACAATAGAACACTATGGAATCTATATCTTTGTTACATTAAGTAATTATTGATAATATCTATGTATATATTCTATATCATTTAAATAAATAAAAATGTATTATAGAAAAGGAACTAAGTATCTTTAATTTGGTTAGTCAAATTTGTATCAGACTGATTAAAAAATCCCTCTCAGACAGGTACTTTCTTCAGTATCTTAAAAATTATCCTGAAGAGGATTCATCTCCTGGTTTGTGTTCATTTTTTTCGCAGTTTATTAAACAAAAAGCATTTTTATGCTTAAAATCATAATCCATGATAAATAACACCCAGAGCAGATATTTCTGTTTTATCAGAACTTATTTTTTTTGTTATTTTCATACCATATTACAGGAATAATCATTTTTTAGTGGAAAAGAATACATCTCCAACTAATTTATTTGATGCATTTGAACTGAAAAAATTAAAATTAAACAAAGAATAACAATACTAAATTGACAGATATTCAAAGTTTTAAAATATTATCCTAACACTGATATTTTGTAATCATTTAAAGAACTGAACTTCCAGATGTTGATTGATTGATAAATGTCAAAGCAAAAAAAAAAAGCCCCAAAACATGTTGAAGCACCTATTACTACAATGCTAGACTGTACAGAACATGTTTTGGCATATTTAAATGTATAATGCTAACAGCTGGAGCTAACAAAAACCTTAACTTATATCTTATACTGTACAAACATTAAAAAATCAATAATAAACACAATAAAAAGACACATTATGTCCATTTCTGCTCCAGACTAGTCTTACAATTGGTAAAGAAAGTTTCAAGTTTTGTTTTGGAGTGGTTTTGAAACATACCTCAAACAAATTTTAACATAAAGTTCCTTTTTTCACCTTTTTTTATGATTTTTTTGTTTTTAGTTTTTTTTAACACAGAAATTTACAGAGATTTCATATTCACAAGTAATTCACAAACATTGCCATATTGTTTATTTCTCATCATTCTATTATATTTAGTCATAAGCAAATTCATATCCATCAATTCCTCAACATTTGTGACTAATTGTTCTATAATAAATTGCACTGACTTTACCAACTTATCATCACTTGAGTTGGACTAAACAGAGTTAACTCCCTTTGACTGAGCAATACTTGATTCCAATTTTACACACCAAAGCCCAGCAGTGGAAATGTATGATTGTCTACAGGGCAAGTCCAAGTAAAATATCTCACAGCTCTCTCAAAAGTATTGGTCAGGCCACAAAGTATACTTATAGCCACATAAATACAGGTTACTAATGATGTCAGATCAAATGTTTCTGCTTGATTAGGTCCGATCAAATGCCGTCTGCTGAAGTTATTATTCCTTGCTGTCTGTATATACTTTAATGTGTCCGACATTATGGTGATGGTCCATGAGTAAAATATGAAAACCCTGAAATAAAATAAAAGTAATTGTTTAAATCTTAGAGAAATTTGTATTCCATTTTTGTGAGTCTCCATGAACTAAACTTGGAAGGTAACAAGAGGGCCATGGCCCTTAACACCGTCATCTGACAATCAACGAAGGATGCACAAACCACAGAATTTGTTAATGGTTTTCTGACAAATCTGATGAATTCAAATTCTGAACATTACTTCAAAAGTATCAGAAACTCCTAAATGGCAGGTTATGTGCATGAAGAACAGTTACACCACCATGTTACAAAATAACTACTGTGATTACCATATTGAAGTTTTGGTCAGACTGAAAAGCAACAACAAATCAACTCATTCTTTTCTTTACAAAAAAACTAAAAAAAAAACTTTTTCAAAAATATTTCTCTCATTGGTGTGATTGAAAAATTAGAAGAAATTCAGACTATTTGTTCTTTGTTGGATTTTGGACCAAAGCTTAAAAATAATATTTAGTAAGGACAATCTCATTCTCATTTTATTCACGCTTGACATCATTGCCACTGATAATGTTTCAGGCCACATTTGGTTGAAATCTACCAAGGCATTCAGAAGGAGTAATGTTTTGAAGTAAAAATTTGACCCCCACCACTAACTCCCTTGGAGACGAATCATCTTTCTGAATTCAAGAACTGATTCTCCACCCACCATGATGTTTTGTACCACATTTGGTTTAAATCTATTAAAGCCTTCAGGAAGAGAAGCATTTTGAAGCAAAATATTGTCGAACTTCCCCTTTGGGGGTCTCGCTCCGAAGTCCCAAGGGATTGAATCAAATTTCTGAATTTAAGAAACGATTCCCCTATCTCAATGATTTTTCAGACAAAATTTGGTAAAAATAAATTCAAGCATTAATAAAGAGAAGCATTTGTTTAACTTTCCCATGTTACTGACAAAACTGAATGAAATTGATTTAAGCATTAACGGAGAGTAGTGTTTTGAAGCGAAGAATTGTCTAATTTTCCTTTTTGGATCCCGTTCCCAGGTCCCTATGGACTGAATCAAATTTCTTAATTACAGAAATGATCCCCCACCCCCAATAATGTTTCAGACCAAATTTGGTTGAAATCTACCATGGCATTAAGCATGAGTAGTGTTTAAAAGGAAAAGTTTATGCCGGCGAACAGTGCATGATGCACGATGACGGATGATGCATGATAGCAATAGAATAAAAGGAAATAGAATTCCAGTCCTGACCTCATGGTTTTACTTGTAGGTTACCCACACTGTGTAAATGAGAAGTAGCTGGAATCCAGAGTGTTTGACTGATGACCATTTTTATCACTGTGAGTTGATAGAACTATCCATCTTTCCTTTTTTATAACCCAAACACTACACACACCTTAAGCTTGCCAAGAATTTTTTCTGGAGTTATAACCCTGTATCTAATCCTAAGGGGATAAATGATTCTACCAGTCTTTGCATACCTGAGTGTGAATGGCCTACACGTCATGTGATTTGACACCTCCATTCTGTTGGACTTTCTGCGGAGTTCCGCCGTGTTTCTGAGCATCCATTTCAGCTTGCATACGAGCCAACATCTCCTGCATCTTGCGTAGCTACAATGAAAGATATAAATACTGATATGATGTGGGTATAGTGACAGGAATTATCTACTTATTAACAACCAGGTACAGTGTAATTAAGGATATGTACAAAAAAAGACGCCAAAAACAAAGTAATAACACAAACATATCAATCAAACAAAAATAGCATTATGGGATTTCTGAACAAATTCTACAACTGACTAAAATAAGTATTTTATTGTGGTTTGTACATATCTATAAATACAGTTTCTATTTTTCAGCCAATGGAGCAGTTCTATTGTTACATATCAAGCCATCTGGTTCAGTTTATTTTGCTACCATCAACATTAATGTGTATTTCCAAGTAATGTAAGAAAAGGAACAAGTTACCAGACAGACAGACTTACCTCGGCCTCTTTCTCCACCAGCTGTTTCTCACGGTCTGTCAGTTCCTGGGCTTGACTTTCTGGTCTACGTTTGCTGTAACAAAGAAACCAGAATCCTATATAAGTACAACAGGTCATTAAAGTCAAGGTCATTTATAAGGAAAGTAAAGGTCATCAAGAAATTGAAAGTTAAATCAAGGTAATCCATAACAGGCATGCACAGGACATAGAATTATCTAAAATTGAACTTGTGATATAAACTATTTGAGTCCACAAAAACAATGTGTAAACACAGACTTAGCAGCTTTCACAGTTAAGTGTGATCTATTGAATCCTTCAAATATTTACCAAGATTTTCTATCTGCTATGTAACTGTGAGACTCACATCTAGTTATAAAACAAATTATAGGTCCTTTCTCATGTGTGAATGTGCTCTTTGTATGTGACTATGTATATTGTGGATGTTTGAACATGGTAATATCTTTGTAGGTCTTCTGTTACTTAAACTTTAATATCTCTTAATATAGTGGTGATTCACTGCAATCAAGGAGTAAATGATACGACAGTCATCTGGATATAGATTACACAACCAAGGCATATACTTAACTGAATACTTATATAGCAAAATAAAAATATTGTCTCTTTACGTGAACTAGAAATGTTGCCATAGAAACAACCAATGTATCACCAATATAGAACAGTATTCTAATTAAATCAGAGATCTTCTCAAAATGACAAATTGTATCAATTAAATTAGCAAAGTCTTCACATATCACTATTAATTCTTTTTTTACATCACTATTCTTTGTTTCACATATCACTATTCATTGTTTCACATATCGCTTTTTATGCTACGTTGGAAAATAAAAAAAAATTACAGTTTGGTGTGATTAAAGCAATTAATTGAAATAAAAATGTGCTAGAAAATAAAGGCTTTTGTGAAAATACCGATTATAACAACATACATGCAAAAGTAGCATTGGTGAAATTAACAAGAAATTTTAAATATTATAAAGTCAGGAAAGGAAGCCATTCAGATATTTAATAATGAATTGATTTCACGAATCAATAACACATGATAGATATAACTGTCTCCATTGTTAGCTTAAACTGATTTTATCCTTGTCAAATTCCGGGTAAAGCACATACATGCATATTCATATCATGCAACAGACACGCCCATCTACTCCTCCCAATCCTCTAACTCCGCCCCCTGATTCATTAAGGCCAGCAACATTAGTTATTACCTATTAATGTTTGTTCGATTTGATTTTGATTTGAATGTGGCAGAAGGATATTGTATAAAACAGCCATAATTCTGTCAGACAAAATAGAGTTTCTACCCCCAGTTTCAAGAACGTTCAATTAATTGGATGGTAAATCAATTAGAAAATCAGATGGTTGGCAGCTGATTGTAACTGTACAGCCTTAGCTATTTATTTAAATACCAAATAATTCACAATATAAATACTACAGATATGGAATCATAAAGTAAATTACATACCAGGGTATATACCTAGTCAAATATCTCCTGTGTTAAGTTATCATCTACGCTTACCACCTGTGTGTATTGACCAATTAATTAACCACCTGATTAAGAAAACTACAATATATTTTTATATTATTGAAGTTAATGCCCTATTTCCAACTACCAGAGTGTGTGTCCATTAATACAGAGAAAGTATAAAATTAATTTACTTCTATGACTTATTCCCAACTACCAGAATTTGTTTGGTAATAACAAATGAAGTTTAGACAGACAAGAAGTAATTAGGATGTATATTATCTAGTTGATTTGGTAAAGAATGATAATAAGTATAGAGCTGAGGTTTGCTGGACACCCTCCAACACACAGGTATAGGATTTACACACAGGTATAGGATTTACACACGGGTATAGGATTTACACACGGGTAGGGTTTACACACGATACATATAAACTACAGGTCGCACATGCTTACCGTGAAATGCAGCAGGAGCAAAAAGGAAGGGAGGAAAAATAAAACAGAAAAAGTGTTTACAAACAAAGACATAAAAACGTTCTTGCTGTAAACTTATCAAGCTTCAATAAAGCTAACTCTGGACTGTGTTCACAATCACCACAAGCTAAAACCATTTCGGTGGAATTGACAGAAAACTAGTGTGAACTATGGCTAACTTAGATTATCTGAAAAACTAAGAAAAGTAAATAAAAGCAAAACAAACAATCACTTCTATTTCTAAAATTTGGGAAAAAAGAATGAGATGCTAAAGCAGACAGAAGATTACTTATCATAAAGGATTTATATGTAAAATTTCAAACTACATGTAGGAAATCACACAAAATGATCACAAACAGCTGATCCGTAAAACTGAGGAAGTTTTAATAATTATTAAAAATCAAGCATAATAGACTGAAAATATTTCCAAAATAAGCAACAGAAGAATCAGACCATGATATAGATATACATATATTATAAATTGCATTACAGTATCCCTGCAATCAAAAGCGGTTCTGAAATTTCTGAAATATTCTGGTACGTCCGACTAACATTTGAATATTTCATAAGTAGAAAGAAATGAGTGGAACAGCCATATATTTTCCCAGTCAAGATATATGTGTATTGCGGTATATCTAACAAAATGTTTTTATAATTGTTGCAATATACTGATGTATATAATTTGAATGAAAGAAACTTTGAAAAATATTGAACCAAAAATAACCTGACAAGCTTGTCCATGAGCGTAACTCGACTGGAAAAAAAGGTAAATCAATTTTCAGTTGCTTTGTAGAAATTCCATTACTGACTTAAAAATGATTTCATTTTCTTCTGAATGAGCGTAGAGTGTTAGTTAGCTCCCCTTGGTAAAATCTGTTAACTTGCTATATAGTGTATTATCGTACAAGAGGCAGTGTCTATTCTTGTACAACTGAACTACCTTATATGGTAATCAGGACCTGAATTTGCATTTGTTCAAATGCAAAGTCATATCTTTGACCAGGTGTCTTACTATCAAATATAAATATATTTTCATTTTAAGGGAAACATATGTTTATAAATATCAACTGAAGTTAAATTTGAAATTAATTTCATTGTTCAAAATCTGTGCAAAAAAATATCCCTTAAAATGAACAATAACAGCCTTGATACGACAATAAATTGTCAATGAACTCTGACTGACCATGTGAGTGTGGAAACAAATATCTAAAATATCATTACAACCTGAAAAGTAAGCCAACAAGGATTATAAGGTATTATCTACAGGCAAAAAGTTCTGGGCTCCATTTAGTGAAAGCATCTTCAACTTAATCACATGCTTTTCTATAAATAAAATCTGGTATTCATTAACTGAAAATCTGTAAAAAGCACTCGATTACCATTATATGAATTCTGAAACCATATTTTCATGAATTTATTTTGGAGAAAGATTATGAAAGCAAACAGGAAGTCCTTCACTGGTAGAAATATAATCCGTCTAAAATGACCAGAGTTGTATGATGCACTCATTAGATGTGCAAATAAATTTTCAAATAAAAAAGACGTATGTATGCATATATGAAAATTTACGTACAACTATATATGGATGACATAAAAGAAAATTTACAAAGGAGTACATTGGTATGGCGTACAGGAAAATTTCCATACTATCATATTTGTATGGCATACAGGAAAATTTCCATACTTCCATATTTGTAGGGCATACAGGAAAATTTCCATACAACTACATTTGTATGGCATACAGGAAAATTTCCATACAACTACATTTGTATGGCATACAGGAAAATTTCCATGCTTCTAAGTTTGCATAGCATACAGGAATTATATTCATATATAACTACATGTATACTATGACCGATAAATTCTATTTAGGATATTTTTTTGATATACAAGTAAATAATTACTACTGTTAATATATTAAGGACAACTATGAAGTACCATGTAATAAGACTCGGAGGGGACTCATCCTCTGATAGCAAGACATGTTACAAAGTCAAATTAAACAGGAAGTAAATGTCCTCATCTTTCTCTAAAACAATTTTGTTTCAGTTAAGAAAATCAGGACATTCATGATAAAATTAGGTTTAATTATGCAATAAATTTTCAGGATTTGCAAACCTGGGAAAACATCAAAACAGCATGCAGGTGCTAACTCGCTGGATAAGGAACAATGAAATGCAAAGGAATGTTTCTGTCATCTGACATCGTAAAAGTTTCCCTCGAATGCAAAATAAAAATCTATTTTAACTAAACATGTCCAGTAAGTTAACAGACTTTAATACTGAATCGAAAGTTATTTGAAGTTAACAATAGATACTTTGTTCATATTTCAAAATATAGATGTCAAATATACAAATTTGTCATTGTGGACTGGACTAATATAACTTTTCTTCTCTTCTATCAAAAATCCAATTCAGGTTGTGTCCTGGTATAGCAATCCAAACAAATGAAAATAAATGAATAATGATTATCATTTTTATCTGTCATTAATCTTTTTGCTAACCATCAAAATCTCCGAGTCTAATTTCTTATAATCTGAGATACACAGTATTTGATTTCTCCTAATATCTACAAATATAATTTCAAAATTTCACAAACATCCGAAAAAAACTTTGTTGAAATGTCTTTGACACAACTATGGAGATGCTGTAGTTTCAACAGACCTCATTCTGTCTGCCTGAGATTGATCTCAAATATTTTGTCATGGAGTTGCTAGAACTTGGTATTCTAGTAACAAAATGACATTTAACTATCACTTTAAATTCTGAATCATTCTCATATTTTGGTTTCTTCAACAAATTAGTAGTTCAAAATTTTATCACTAGCAAAAATGAAATATTCAAAGTTTGACTTGGTGAGTGCTGTAACTTTTGATCTGTTTTTGATCAGGAAAAAAAGGTGCAAAATTCTAAGATAATTGGCAAAACTTTAAAATGGCTCCTTTGCTGCCAAAGGCATTAGACAGAATGAAAGCTGTATAATGACGTTGCCATGTTAGAGTCACGCAGAAGAGAGAAAATGAGACATACTCTTGAGCATCGACCTCTTCACCTCGCCCCCTTCTGTAATAACATAAACCGTGAGGGGCACACAAATCAAACACAACTAAACCTAGTTGTCAATACACTGCACAAAACATTAACTGAAAAGTAATGTGTTCTTTCTATCGTTAATCATTTCCTGTAGTTTGAGTGATGTATTTGTAAGGAGTCTCACACAAATCTTTCTTTTATTCATATTTTGCTCCAGTTTCAATGAATTTGGGTTTGAATGAAGATTCTCTTGACATGTTGGTATTTTCTTCAAATAATCACTTTTTAATTGTCTTTTTTAAACAATGTCCAACGATTTCATAGAACCTTAATTGATGATTTCTATTGAAATTGAATAACTTATCTTAAAAAGATAGCATGATAGAAAGAACACAACAGTGGAATTAAAATGTCATCAATTAAACACACTGAAACAATTTTTTTATATATAAAACATTGAAAGCAAAAAGTATTAATATAATCTTAGTGAGGGAGAAATCATTGATCTACGGGAAAAGATGAGGGGGAAATTATTGTTCTACAGGAGAAAATGAGGGAGAAATCATAAATGATGATGACAGTGATTTTACAAAGAAAAGTGTTGAATGAAGCTAGCAGGTTGAAGTGGTGTGAGAAATTCTTGCAAAAAATCATATCAAAGAATTTAACAGACACAAACAGAATAAAGACAAAGTCACATAGCCTCACTGAAATGTTATCAAAATAAATACATAAACATGAGAATCCCCAATTATATCCCTGTAAACTTAGTCTATATTTGGCAAGGGAGATGTCATAGCTGTCAATCAATAAGCTCCGCCCATACCTGACTGTTTTCTTGGCTGCAGCTCCTCCTCCCTCAGCAAGTTTTTCAGCTCGGAAGTTCTCATAATGCACCTCCTGTGTGACTTCCTGTAAGTCTTGCATATGTGTGCTGTGTAATACAAGTTTAGTGTAAAGAATATTTCAGAGTACTTTTTACATCAATAACACCAATTTTATCTACTGTCAAAGTTCTTGCAATATATCGATATATCAATTTAAATGCTTTAATATATGAAAGTTCTTCATCCAATTTAAATATGAAAATAAGGTAGAGTGCAATGAAAATTATTTTAGATTAATTTTATCTTTACTAAACTTGACAAGAAAAAATATTGCATTACAACACAAGATTTTGATAACAAGGCTGTTGATAATATGTCATGTATTTCCCTTAGTTCAAAAACAATTTAAAGTCCATTGAAAACAAAATTTTCAAGAAGGGATTGTATCACTATTCGAATCAAAACTGAAAGTGATTGGTCTGAATTTTTCTTTAACAACCAATCATAATGGTCCTTACATCAGCATTGTTCTGAGTTTGATGAAGTCACAATGTTCTGGGTTTTCTACTTCAACTACTCCCCATGGATACATGCGACCTCTGACCTTGCGACCTTTAACCTCAATAACTGTGTTGGCCCCAATAACTGCAAAAGGCACTGCTTCCTGAAAGACAATAATATTCACTTGCAATTCTGCTTTTTTATAACATGAATAAAATGTTTCTATTATTTTGTTACCAGGCAAATAAAAAAATGATTAACAATTAAAGAACCAGTGTATGTGATAACTACCAGTCCATGAACATATCAGTATGTGTAGGGTACCTTGAGCTGGCGGCACTGTTCCCTGTAGTCCTCGTCTTCATCCGAGTCACAGTCGGGCAGTGGGTAGATACTAATTCCATGTTCATCTATTTGGTCCATAACCTTGAGAACAAGAGTCACATGTTTGTTATCCGGTTTACTGTACAGTTACAGTATGAGATGTAGTTTGTGTGCATTGTGGTTCTAGTGCAAGGAAAGTAGGTGGGATTTCAAAATCTTTTATTGGACGTAAAATTTTGATATGATCACGCATATTAAGAACACACATACTCCGTCTACAGTAATAATGAATTTTGCATTTAGGAAATGTATTCCATAAAGAGTATTTAAAAGCTGAAAGAGTTGTAATCTTACAGGCAAATAAACTTGAAAGTTCTTTCCTAAAGTTGCCATCTTCCTTATACTCTCTTAGCAGTTTGTTCACCATTGAAAAACATCAATTACAAAAGCTATCAACTGACAGATGGATAATATTATATTATACAATTCTCATTTACAGTTTCTTCGCTGTTCAGGTGTGTTTTAATTGACAATTTGATGATGTCATACCTTTCTCTTCAAAAGAAACACTTCTTGTAGAGTGAGTGTGTCAGCCTTGGCAATCACGGGTACAATGTTGACTTTGTTGTGAACAGCCTTCATGAATGACACATCAAGGGGACGTAACCTGTCACCAGAGAGCAATCCATCACTTCTATACACTGTACATGTACATCTAAATAATTTCTACTTTTGTTCACTTAAGTACTTTTGGTTTTGAAAACATTTCAAGTTTTTGTTTTTATTTTTTGCTTAGTGTTTTGCATATTAAATATTTTTTTATCTTCAGTTGCTTCAAATGGATTTGTAATATTACAAGCAGAAGACAAAAAAAAAATCATTCTAAATGCCATTCATCAAAATCCACTGTGAATTAACAATCACTATTTTGTGCATAAATAGAAATTATCTCCCTTTGACCATTGCCTCCAAGTAGTTAAATAATTAAGAAGCAATAATATCATCATTACTTAATGTAATATTATCTCCATCACTAGGGCAATTATCAAATCAATGACATCTATTTGTAAGGACACCATCTCATTATTTCTTTGGGTGTTTATCATCTCTACAGCTTTCATTCAATATATTTGAGGAATTAAAGAAAAGGAGTAGTTTTTCCTCTTTTTAGATAACACTTTTGGTCCTAAACAGTTGGACAAATGTAACAGCAATCTGATCAACTATTGCAATCTTTCAGTAGCTTTGACATATCAATGACTTTGACCTTAGTGTGATTTGACCTAGTATGACCTTGACCTACCCATGACCTGAGGGGTTGATGAAATAGAAGCAGCAGTGAACACGGTTATCAATGATGTGGCGTCGGTTGAGACCACTTTCGTCTTGTAGGTATCGTTCAAATTGGTCATCAACATACTGAATGATGGGCTTGAAGCTGTCAAACAACAAAACAAATAATAAACAGCAAGATCCATGACTTAAATCTAGCAGTTAAAACAAGAAGAAAATGATGTCACAACAGAGGAATCGTACAGATCCAATTTTATGTTGTATACTTTGGTAATTTGCAAACGAAATTGAGCAAAGACAGCATAATTCTTTTAAGTAGCCTTGTTTATATTATGAAAATGGTATACATGTAGCAGCAACAGTTTCCAAGATATCATTGGCAAGATTCTTTAAATCCAGATCTGGAAAATCACTGAAGCATGAAATGTATGTCAAATTTTGTGGTCACAACATGCATTCAGTTCTCCCTTAACTGCTGCACCAGCTAGATATACAAAGTCTGTTTAAATATCATCCATGAACTTCTTGAAGTTGTGGAAAATAAAGACATGGAGTTATGTTTCACTATGGAAAAACCAACATTGATGTGAAAAGTATGTGGTACATGTATACGTAATTATCTAACAGGAGGTTCTACTGGCAATTTCTGTTCCAGTAAAACATCTATCCCATTCCTGGAACCTAGACACCAGGTTCTTGTTCTGGGATTATCACCCACTTAAAATAATAATTTACACATATGTAAAGGGAAGAATCTGAATCATGGATGGAAGCCCACCTTTTTTTTCTCTCTCTTTTTGAGTCTTGTATTCATGAAACCATTCTCATGCTCAAGCATAGATTTTGTGCTCAAGCAGACTTTTTTGTAATTCGCAAAAATCATATAAAATAATACAAATGTCAAATATAAACATTGAATATAACTTTGACTTGAAGTCCTTTCAAAATTTGTTTAAAATCATTGGCAAAATCAGCCTTACTTATGAATTTTTAACTTAAACAAGATATAAGGCCTGAGCACAAAATTCATGCTTGAGTATGAGAACGGTTTCATGAATACGGGCCCTGGAGTTAAAATGTTTGTCCAGATGACCAAAAATTTGATCTCTCCTTTCTCCTCTTTTTTCATTCTTTCTTTGATTGAGAGAAATGTCCATTTCTATACATATCCCTTGATGACATCACTGAGTGTTACATGTCTTTATGTTTAAGTATAACAAATTTCCGACTAAACACATTATGTTGTTATTTTTGCAACATTATTGATGAATAGGTAATCAATATATGATCCTGTGGTCTGTCCCTCACCAGTCATTGGAGTTAAGAGAGTCACCAAATCCTGGGGTATCTACCACTGTTAGTCGAAGTTTCACTCCTCTTTCTTCTATCTCCACTGTGGACGCATCAATTTTCACAGTCTGTTTGATTTTTTCTAAAAGTAAAAAGAAAATAAACTTTCTGTTAAAAACAGAAAACAAAATAGTGATTAAGACACTTGTACCTACATTGGCAAATGGTGAAAGTGCTCAGGCAATATACTTATTGAGAAAGGATGCTTTGTTCTTCAGGTAAAGGTGGCAACATGGAAGTGTAGTGGTACGATCACATGGGGAACATTTGGGAATGCATTGTTCATTATACATTTTAAAAAGTCAGTTTTATGTGTTTTTAACATACCAAGTAGGTCAGATATCCATGCATTTTTTTTGAGCCAGGACTTTCATCCACACCAAATTGCTTGATTCCATGATAATGCTTTCTTTAGATAAACTTTTTTTGAAAAAGATGATAATCTTTCCGAATCTAATTCTATTTTTCACAAAATAAATTGGAAATGTTTTTTCTTTCTAAAATGACCACACTATATCTATTGATACTCAGAGATGAGTTCCGAGACAAGATTCATCTTTGATTAATACATTAAGTTTGGGAATATATAAGTTCAGTGTAGGTGTCACATGTCATCTTACAATTTACATTTACAATTTAACAAGTTTTTTTTTTCAGAATATAACGATGAAATTTCTGGAGATCAAATTGCCTGAAGGATGGTTGAAGCATAAAATTGGTGAAATTTAATGAGAGTGTTTTCAAATATCTATTGTGTTGAATAATATGTTAAATTTTCTAGCGTAAATGGAGAGTGATTTACCAGTGAAAATGTGCTGCAGTGTGTATCACCTCATCTTTTATCTGATAGAGGCCAAGATAAAAGAACATCAGGGATCGGCCATGTGTGACATCCGTGAAATGATCGGTGCACTGTCATGTTTACGTACAATCTACTGGGTCATGTTGCAGTCTTTGTTGGTAGAATTTATGAATGAATGGAGACCATTTTTTTTTTATTACATAAATCACATTTAATGACCTGGTATTTGAATTGCATTTATATCAAAACGTAATTTTGACTCCATGATTAAAATTTGGTTTGTGTGGATTGTACTTGACAGGTGATTGATAATAGATCCTATTAGTAAAGACCAAAAAAATGGAAAACACTTTTCATGTCACGGATCAATTTTGAAGTATATTGTAACCAGGAGACAATAAATTTAGATCAGACCAACTAACAAAACTATATGGCTGATGATCTGATAATCTGATAATCTGGTCCGTGTGACAAAATATAGGATTTACAGTCTAGTAATGTTGGTGGTTTTTATAGCTACTGTAAAGTCACAAATAAATGGAGTAAATTTCATAACTGGTTAGTCAGTGTGCGATATCAACAGGTATTTGAACCTTAAGAAAAATATCTAAATTGTTTTTAAACAATTGCCCTGCACTAAAGTAACATGTTTGGCTCTATTCCTTGGTTAGTAAATTGTTTTTATAGACAAAAAAAGTCATTGTCAAAGTTATAGTCTCGTCTTAAACCATTTATCATAAAAGCTGCACTTACGAATGAGACTTGAAGGAAACCATCTTGTGGTCAATAAACAAAATACAACCAATAAGGGTAATGAATGTGACCAGTCACATGGTACTCTACCTGCAGCTGAGTGGATGTGTCGTTCTGGGTAAAGGTCTGTCAGGAACAAGCTGTTGACCAGTGTGGACTTTCCAAGGCCAGACTCCCCTGCAGCACAAAAGGCAATGAAGATACTAGAGTACAAAATCTCTTTACCAGATAATGTATTCTGGATCAATGTTTACATCTAATACGACAGTAATTTTAGGCTTATGTTTGATATTAATTTGGTGTCCATGTTCAGTTTTTTTTAGATCTATCACTACACTATAATACAATGTTTCTCTCACATGATATATAGACAATATTTACTTCATCAGCCATCAAAATATTTATCTGCACAATGACGTAAGACATGAATGTGAAGCCAAAAGACTGCTTTAGTTTAGGCCTGTTTTTCATACCCACGACTGTGAGTGTGAGCTCGAAGCCCATTTTACTTACCCTCAACCACAGGTCTGAAGTCGAAGTCCGTTTTATGTACCCATGATCAAGAGTGTGAACTCTAAGCCAGTTTTACTTACCCATGGACACAGATTTTTTGCTTACCCATGACCATGAGTGTCAACTTGAAGACCACTTCACTTATCCAGCACCATAAACTTGAAACTGAAGCCTGTTTTACTTATCAACAACCATAAGTGTTAACTCAAAGAAGCTTGTGTTTAACTTATCCATGACCATAAGTGGGAACTCAAAGACACCAGTGTTTAACTTACCCACAACCGTGAGTACAGAACTCCTGTTAACTTACCCACAACCGTGAGTACAGAACTCCTGTTTACTTACCCACAACCGTGAGTACAGAACTCCTGTTTACTTACCCACAACCGTGAGTACAGAACTCCTGTTTACTTACCCACAACCGTGAGTACAGAACTCCTGTTAACTTACCCACAACCGTGAGTACAGAACTCCTGTTTACTTACCCACAACCGTGAGTACAGAACTCCTGTTTACTTACCCACAACCGTGAGTACAGAACTCCTGTTTACTTACCCACAACCGTGAGTACAGAACTCCTGTTTACTTACCCACAACCGTGAGTACAGAACTCCTGTTTACTTACCCACAACCGTGAGTACAGAACTCCTGTTTACTTACCCACAACCGTGAGTACAGAACTCCTGTTTACTTACCCACAACCGTGAGTACAGAACTCCTGTTTACTTACCCACAACCGTGAGTACAGAACTCCTGTTTACTTACCCACAACCGTGAGTACAGAACTCCTGTTTACTTACCCACAACCGTGAGTACAGAACTCCTGTTTACTTACCCACAACCGTGAGTACAAAACTCCTGTTAACTTACCCACAACCGTGAGTACAGAACTCCTGTTTACTTACCCACAACCGTGAGTACAAAACTCCTGTTTACTTACCCACAACCATGAGAGTGAACTCAAAGCCCTTTTACTTACCCACAACCGTGAGTACAAAACTCCTGTTTACTTACCCACAACCATGAGAGTGAACTCAAAGCCCTTTTTGACAGACTTCCTGTGGACTTGATTTGGAAGGTTTGCAAACCCAACATAGCCTGGCTGTTCAGGACATTATTTTTCCTCCTTTCTTGAAAGATACACAGAAAAAACATTTTAAAACATTGTACAACAAATTACATCCAACTTACCTTTGTTATAATTGATCAATATCAATTTATATCATTTGGTCCCAAAAACGTCAAGCATAAATAATACTCAAATAGTACCTGATTTTAACATGTAATAAAGACAAAGTGAGCAGGGACTCACATAGATATACCCCCACCCTCTCATCATCTTCTGACCTAAACCTATCGACCCTCTCAATACATGATATAAAGACAGTCTTGTGTTGATTCTGTAAGAACAGTAAGAGACATGGAATTTAACAGCAAAGATCTTCATTACATCTGGAAATGAAAATCGTGACAGAGAAACCGTGTTTCACAACATGTAGAACACATATGTCACTCTGACATGAAATCAAAGGTTGACATTTAGCCAGCAAATGTCTTGTTTCTTATGCATGAAAGATAAGTTCTTGTATCTTATTTAAAACTAAATGAATTCTAATGGCCGTTCTAATCAGTAAACACAACATGCAGTTTGGGATGAATCATCTTTCAGCATATTTTAACTGTCAGAAAACAAACTCTGTCCTCCTCAGATCCAAATTTATCATTTCCACATGGAATTCTCTTAACATAGTTCATTTGATGTAGTCACAGAGCAATCAGTTGTACAACAACCATACTGTTTTAGTCATTATATTGATTCCCTCACTCCTTCTTCTTTCCATCCCCACATCAACCAACCAAACCCTATACCAGCCACCTAACCATTACACCATCCAACCCACCCCTAAAACCAATTCCTACCCATACACCTGTCGACCCACCCCTACATCAACCAACCCAACCCTATACCAGCCACCCAACCGTTACACCATCCAACCTACCCCTAAACCAATTCCTACCCATACACCTGTCGACCCACCCCTACATCAACCAACCCAACCCTAAATCAGTCACCCAACCGTTACACCATCACACCCACCCCTAAACCAATTCCTACCCATACACCTGTCGACTTACCCCTACATCAACCAACCCAACCCTATACCAGTCACCCAACCGTTACACCATCCCACCCACCCCTAAACCAATTCCTTCCCATACACCAATCCCTATCCTTACACCAGCCAACCCACATTTACACCAGCCTGCCCATCTATATACCATACACCCCTATACCAGCTGACCCACCCCTACATCATATGGTTTGGGTGACACATTGGTAAAGCACTGGTCTTTCACCAAAACATCTGAGGTTTGATTCCAGGTACAGACGTGAAATGGTAACAAGTCACCTGCCCGACCTCGTGGGTTTTCCCCGCGTACTCTGGCTTTCTTCCCACAGGAAGACATCTTATGAGCTTCAATCCAAGCCAACAAAAGTAATTGATATCAGTTAAAAATTGTTTTGCAAAATAAAGTTTAACATAAAAAAAGACCAGCTGACCAACCCCTCCACCAATCACTCTAAACACAGCACTTGATTCCTGCACCCCCTTGGCAATCTAAACCCCCAAGGGGCCCTAAACCAATCTCCACCTCTGCCCCAACCCCTTCACTCATCCCTTGTCCTAAAAACACAAGATACATCCCTACCTAAGGTTTACATAACACTGAATCTTAACATATTTCACATTCAAACTATAAATTGCCATGCATTGTTAATGTTGCCTTCATTTTACAAAATAATTTTTCCCAATTTGAAATTTTTAAACATATACAGTAAGTAAGTACCCTCATGGAAAGCTTTTAACCATTTCAGCTCCCTCACCAACCAATGACTACAAAATCACACAAAAATCTAAACAGTTCTCCCATTCCTATCATCCCATCCTTGGCCCCACCCTACTCCCAATGACCACACAATATGACAGTCTGACTGTAAATATTTCACACTTACGTTTTCCTCTCCACCTAGTGAGAACATGATGAGGGATGTGGACCGTGAAATCTGCTGCCAATTATCAGAATAATTCTACAATTCCTAAATATTATTTCACACCTCTACTCTGGATTCCAGACTGATGATATTGCCAGTAAAATCACATGCAGTATCTAGATACTACACCGACCAACATCAGTTCCGATACACATACAGCTTCCATGTTTTCTCTTATTTTCTGACAGTGCATGTTAAACTCCAAGAACAAAACTGTTCACCCTAATCTCACCACACAAAGAACTTCTGTATTCTACTAAAACAAAACTGAAACATTGGTGAGAGCCAACAGGAAAAAAAACAGTAAAAAAATTCTGTGCTGGTTTTAGCATTGGCTGTATTGAGCTATTCCTGATAAAACTTGCCTTCCTCCTCACCAAAAATGTGAGATATTTCTTGGGGGTATGGAAATCACTCCACAAAGCTGACAGCTTGATGTTCCAGTGTAAACAACATTGCTTACATGGAAATATCAACCAAACTTCTGAAAAATCTTTTTAGTGATTTTTAAAAGTTTTCATTCCTTTTTTCACTGATTTTTTCCCAAACATATTTTACAAGAATTGAAACAGAATAATTTTCAGAAGTTTTGGAGAAAGAATATATTTGGATGGTATAAATTCTAGCTGTGCAAAGAAAGAAATGGTTCTTTTGTACTAAAATGGCTTGTTAACTTACAAATTTTGAGCTTGAATTGAAAATTTTCTTAAAAATTTTTCAATTAACATTTAATTCTGTTTTAAAATTTCAAACAACCTAATTTAAATCTTTATTCCCAGTTTGGTTATAATGAACACTTTCTACATTTATCTGCATAGAAAATATAAAGACTGATAAACTGACGTTACTTTGAATGGCTGGACTGGGATGAAGGAGTCGAGTGTCTGGTAAATACATATCTCAGCTGGTCTATCAAGATGAAGAAAAACTAAACAGCATCGTCAGCTTAACGAGTCACTGAGACACTGAGAGGCCAATATATCTCAGTACATAACTTCTATAGGCCAAAGCCCAATAACCATCATAAGCTTACAGCTTATCTTCAAACACCTATACATGCATATTTGAAATGAAAGAGATGTTACAAACTGATGTTTTTTTTTTTCATCTGAGAAAATGTACAGGGCATTAAAACACGAGGATGTAAACATCTATATTTTAACAGTTTTACCAAAAGTTTGAACTATCAAAAATTTTCTTTTTTCTTTCTCTCACCAAAATCATGATACAGACTCATGCCCTTTTCTATTAGTTTTCTCATTCAGGGTCTTCTATTTTTTCGTCGTTTAAATCTATCTTACAACGAAAGATTGAACACCTAGAAAATAACAACATGTACAGTAATCTGACAAATATATATTACCATCAAGTATGCCTATCAGACCCATACTAGTTCTAATCTAAGGACAGACTTACAGATACAGCCCAGGGTATCCCCACAGATACAGCCCAGGGTATCCCCATAGATTCTTGATACAGTATTGGTTACCCTCAGCCTGGTCCTTGGATATATATATAATGTAGTCCTTGTAATCCTACGACAGACTGTGATACAGTCCCAGGTGTCATCTGACAGACCCTGTGATACAGTCCAATGTGTCATCTGACAGACCCTGTGATACAGGCCCAGGTGTCATCTGACAGACCCTGCGATACAGGCCCAGGTGTCATCAGACAGACTCTGTGATACAGTCCCAGGTTTCATCTGACAGACCTTGTGATACAGGCCCAGGTGTCATCTGACAGACCCTGTGATACAGGCCCAGGTGTCATCTGACAGACCCTGTGATACAGTCCTAGGTGTTATCTGACAGATCCTGTGATACAGTCCCAGGTTTCATCTGACAGACCTTGTGATACAGGCCCAGGTGTCATCTGACAGACCCTGTGATACAGGCCCAGGTGTCATCTGACAGACCCTGTGATACAGTCCTAGGTGTTATCTGACAGATCCTGTGATACAGTCCCAGGTGTCATCTGACAGACCATGTGATACAGGCCCATGTGTCATCTGACAGACTCTGTGATACAGGCCAAGGTGTCATCTGACAGACTGTTGGATGCAGTCCCATGTGTCATCTGACAGACCAGATACAGTCCCAGATGTCATCTGACAGACTGTCGGATGCAGTCCTGTGTGTCATATGTCAGACCTGATACAGTCCCAGGTGTCATCTGAAAGACTGTTGGATGCAGTCCTGTGTGTCATCTGACAGACCCTTGGATGCAGTCCTGGGTGTCATTTGTGAGGCCTTCTGATGCAGTCCCATTTGTCATCTGACAGACCCTCTAATGCAGTCCCAGGTGTCATCTGACAGACCCTCTGATGCAGTCCTAGGTGTCATCTGACACGACCCTCTGATAATTGCTAATGACATCAAATTTATGACAAAGTTTTGAAACGGGTTTTCTAAGAGGTCTGTTAGACTTATCCAAAACGGGACATTTTAAAAATCTGATCAACGAAAGCAGGCCTTTTTCCCACTTGTTTGTGAAACAGTATTTTTTATCTCATTTTGTGAAGAAAATTGATAAATTAGGGAGGAAATTAGTCAACCATGCTCTCAATATCTTCAATAGTGGCCAAATAAATTATTTGTAATGACAATATCTATTTCAATAAAACAAATTTTTTTTTTATTCTATGATTCTTTCAAGAAGAACTAGATAAAAAAAAAAAATCTCCCAATTTTCATCAAATTTCAATGCATCACTGAACACAGCATTGATGTTTCGTGTTGTACAGTGTATATATGTAGTGTTTCCTGTATAGATACCTGATCGGACTATATAACATTACCTGTTGTGTGGCCTTCCATAACACCTGTCTGACTGAGGTCAACCTCACCACACTCACTTTCAATCTCCAGACGTAATGGCTGTTTTAATTCAAGTCTACAATTTCCCATTTG